TCGCACACACACACACACACACACACACACACACACACACACACACACACACACACACATGGACACTGTAGTGTGCGTGTGTGTGGGTGTGTGTGTGTGTGGGCGTGCGTGTGCGTGCATGTTTGTATTCGTGCATGCTCGTTCACTATACACCACTCCACAAAGAAAAGCATGACTGCGCTAGTTTGTTTCGCCGAACTTTCACCAACTCATCAGGAGGTTGAACCTCGACAGTCTGCGCAGGATGCATGTGCATGCGTGCGTGCATGTGTGCGTGCATGTCCGTGCATGTGCTTGTGTTTGCGTGCATGATTGAGTGTGTGTGTCCGTGTGGTGTGTTGTGTTTGCTTAACTTTGCTATGACTCTTGGTCAACTCCCAATGCAAAAGCTTAGAAAGAGACAATGTCATTCCATCGCAACTCAAATGAAAGAGATTGGAAGAAGAATTAAGACGAGAGAAAGGAGGAACAAGAGAAGAAGAAGATAAAGTCAAGTTGGGACCCATGTCATCTTTCCATCGTCACCTCCATCATCCTTGCCCTTATCATCTCCTACATCATCTTATAATCAATCCCTACACTTATAAAAATTGCTAACATGAGAAATCAGACATCAGGGCCGTCCGCGGTCCTTCCGGGCCGACGACCCAGATCGTCAGACGATCTTAAGATTTTAAGATCGCGCGAAGATCTGGGCCGACTGCCCAGATCGTCGCACGATCTTACAATTTTAAGATCGCCCAAAGATCTGGGCCCTCTGCGGTCCTACAGGGCCGAAGGCCCAGATCGTCGCACGATCTTAAGATTTTAAGATCGCATGAAAATCAGGGCCATCCGTCGGGCACCACTGGGCCAATGACCCACATTAGAACTTCACAGGTCGAAACAAGCCCCACGCCGCTCCACTATTTGGTAATGCAGAATGAGGCACGGACTCGGTCGCTGGTAAACAAACTGCGCCGCCGTTCGACCGTTTGGCGGCACAGCAGCAACCCTGCCCGGAACCCTGTCCGGGGTTCATGTCCGGCTGGACACCTGGGCGTGTATCCGGGCACAAGTTGGGTGCCCGGGTGCCTGGACAGACAGCCTAGTTATTGTTCCCTTCATTCGTCAGTTGTAATACTTGGGGGGTCGCTGCAAAACCGTCCTAAACAATTTGGAAACTATGATAGTCACAAGCAGTTCCCAGGACATAGCCTGAAGAGTGAAGGTATACAATACGATCCAGGGGTACACATAGTATATCATACCTGCATTGCTTCTGCAGGGTCACATGATAGCCGCCCCTTACGATCAGTCACATGGCCAGTCAATAAAGAATCCATGGATATACGCCCGCCAGATGACACTCGGCCATTGCCAAAAGATGTACGCCCATGAGCCATTTGGCCAGTAGAAAGACGCCTGCTAGTAACCTCTTCTTCACCAACATCACCACCGGAACTTGCTTGTCCCCCACTTGGTATAGTGCGCTCTGATTTTTCCATATCGTTCTCAGAATTTTCAACGGGAACTCCAGTGGCTGCACTTGTTCCTTCTTCATCGAGCTTCTCGATCAACATTGGTGGTAATGGTGGTCGCATTCGCCGTCCTACTGTCACAGAACTCGGAGGAGGCCCCCCTTCCTTCCAGGCTGAATCAGGCACGCCCTCATTCACAGGGAGGGGGATCATTGGCCTGCGGAAATCCTGGAGCAAAATTCACCAGTCCAAAAAACCAATATTCATGAGATGAGGGAGGAGCAGGCCTCGGCAGCAAATTTCCCATCCCTCCCTACATAGGCCTTCTGGCACCCATGCATCACGTTTGCTTTGGAAGAAGAGCTCAAAGATGAATGAACACAAACCAAATTATGTCCTTGACCATACAGTCGTATTAATCACGTCAACATGAAATCATCCATGCAAACAAGTTCATTGAACTTCATTCACTCTCCAAGTTCCTATGATGTTGACAATTATGAAAGGAGGAAGGCCAAAGAGACAATGTCAGCTGTGACTTTATCATAGACGGCACCTATGCCTAGCACACAGGAGACCTCTCTCACTTCTACAGGCCCCATTGATGCCTCCTTGGCTAGGCACCTAACCCATACAGCTCACAGCACATGCAGGTGAGGTGCCTCTCCAACCAATAGCAACCACGAACGCCTGAAGCATAGACTACTACCACTTTGCATGGTCCTCTGCGAGCACAGAGACCAACTATTTAGAATTTTACCATGGTACACTCACAAGTGGCTAACGGGCTCTCAGTACACTCCCGCTGTGACATGATAACATAGACCTGTCAAGGACCCAGACCATCACAGACAGAAAAGCTAGTTACCCTGCGGGAAGGCAAGAGGAAAAAATTGGGAGGAGGCACTTGTGAATGTGTCAACTTCCAAGGGATCCATCATTGCCTCAACATAAAGAATTCTTAGGTCTCAAAGGGAGACACTATTCCCAAATGGTCTGAATAATTTCAATGCACATACTAGCACGCAACAATCTGCCACAGAATCACAAATGAGGCCGAGAAAGAGGACGATCAGTGTTCAGATTTAAGAGAAGGAAGAGAAGAATTTAAACATACCGTTGAGTTATCTGGGGATGCACTAGTAAAGGCTGGACACCATGTCTCACGCCTACTTCCCTGCACAAAGAACCAGCAAGCGCATCCAATTACTAAGACACCCCAATGTGAATACAAACAAGCAAGGTGTAGCCTTGCCTACATTCACGTACATATTCAACACCAACGGTGTGCTGCAGTATGGTCATGAGGACAACAATAGACTTCGGAAGGCTGCGCCCCAGAGTTTACACCAGGTCCAGAACATAGGCTCTACATGCGCCAAGTGTGAGACCCCAGGTCTAGAAGATAGGCTCCATATCCACCAAATGCAAGCATTCTAGGTCATCCCGGTAGACAGCAGAGGACCGGTAGCCCCTGGTCTCAGTCCTCTCTCTCTCTCTCTCTCTCTCTCTCTCTCTCTCTCTCTCTCTCTCTCTCTCTCTCTCTCTCTCTCTCTCT